TTTTTTACATGTATTTATAACAGCTATTTTAAAGTCTTTGTTATTATCTCCCTCTTGGCTGGTTTCTATTGACTGCTCCCTTTTATTTCTCCCCTATTTGGGGTTACTTTTCTTGCTAATTTTTATTATATACTAGACATTGTGGGTGGTACATTACAGAGATTCTGGATTGTGTTATCTTCCTCTGAAGAATATTAATTTTGTTCTTTGTAAGAATTTCAATTAGAGTATGATCATCTTGAACTTGTGTGGGCATGACTTGATGAAATATTTATCAGGGGAGACAGAGTTTAAGGAGGGCATGGCAACAAGAATTTGCAGAGTGCCAGAGAGGATGGAGCTAGCTATATAGAAAGAAAGTTCCAAATGCCTGAAAACAGGTCCCCTTGACTCTTTGGTTGACTAGTAATTGGCACATACATAAGAGGCCAAGAAGAGGAGTCAGAACAATTTCTTGAACTTACAAAGGGATGGGAATAATTTGTATTCTCACTAGCCAGAGTGAGAGGGGGGGACCCTAATAATACATATTAATATTTTGGAATATAATCAACAGAAGAGTTTCATCCTTATACTGGGGATAAATTAACCCTAAAGGCTGCTCAGGACCTGCCCTAAGAACACGTAAAATTAACCCTCAGAAAAAATCAACTGGTTCCAAGTAACCTAGCTACTCCAGTAGAAATACAACACTATTAAAATAATACAACAAAATCCAGTAACTGTTGATGCAATATTTACAAGGTCAAACAGTCTAAACATACCAATTAAAAAGCAAAGATTACAGGTGCACACTTGTAATCCCAGTGATTTGGGAGCTAAGGCAGGAGGATCACAGGTTTGAGGCCAGTTTCACCAATTTAGCAAGACCCTGTCTCAATGTATAAAAAGGGGCAGGGTACATAGCCCAGTGATAAAGTGCCCTGGGTTCAATCTCAGTACCAAAAAAAAAAAAAAAAAGATGATGATGAAATTATCAGATTGGATAAATATAAAAGAATGAACTACTTATATTCTTTTTTTTTAAATATATTTTTAGTTGTTGACAGACCTTTATTTTGTCTATTTATTTATATGCGGTGCTGAGAATTGAACCCACTGCCTCACACATGCTAGGCAAGCACTCTACCACTGAGCCACAACCCCAGCCCCCTACTTATATACTTTTAAACATGGATTAATTATAAAAATGCTAAGCAAAAAAAAGTTGCAAATGATTATACACACTGTATGATAACATTTATGTGACATTCTTGAAAAGGCAAACAAAGCAGATCACTTGTTACTAGGGCCAGGAGTAGAGGAAGGAAATCAACTGAAAAGAGATAAGAATGAACTTTTAATGGCAATAAAAAGTTTTATATCATGATTGCATGGTTGTTACAGAACTATGTTTGTCAAAACTCATTTACCTGGGGCTGGCTCAGTTGGTATAATGTCTGCCTTGCATGCACAAGACCCTTGGTTCAATTCCCAGCACCAAAACAAAACGAAACAAAACACCCAACAACTCACCTACTCATGTACTGCAAGTATGTGAATTTTACTGTATATATATTATCTCAAAACTGACCTCATCACACAATTATATGCCTGAGGGATTTAAGGGAATGTAAGGATGAATAAAACTATTTAAATGAATGAGGGAATAAAGTAAAAAAAAAACAAAATATCTCTTCACCCTAAAAAAAAAATACTCTAAATGCTAGAAGTTAATATGATTTTTAAAACTAAGCTTTAATTGTCTACCACATTTCTAATATGTTTTTAAATTATTAGGTTGAACTAAAGCGACAATATAATGACCACCATTCAAAATTGAGAGGTCTTTTACCTGGCCGTCAGTGGTATGAAATTCAAGCATATAGGGCCTTAAACCAGGCCCTAGGTAGGTAAGTAGAGTAAAATTTATTATTATGTTATTGTAATACTATCTGTGATCCCAACTATATGTAGAACTAGCATTGCTGCTTTACTCTTTAATAAGTGTGGTAAATTTTTATTTAATTAGAACCCTAAGAAGATATATTTTTAGTGTTAGAGGTCCCAAATCAAGCTTGAAAAAAGTAAATAGAATAAATTAGAC